ATATCCAATATTTGCATATATGCAGCACATGTTAGCAGGATTAATAGCTCTGAGAAGTTCTACAATTAAAAGGAAATGTTTAAGACTTGGTTTTATCTAAAATTTTTAAAATTTATTTGACCATGCAGTACCTTCATTTTTCTTAAAATATCTACGACATAGTGATGCGGAATATTGGTGTTCCTTGGAATATACTCAGGAAAATACTTGCATAGATTATTTAGATCACTGATGCTCAACTGGGAGAGGGGATGATTTTGTCCCTTAGGGAACCCTTGAAATATGCCCAGAGACATTTTTGTTGTCACAACTGAGGGGTACTATGGGCAGGTGGTGTAAAAGCCAGGGATCATCCTAAACATCCTCCCCTATGATGAAGAATTGTCTGTCCCCAAATGTCGACAGTGCCTTGGTTGAGAAACCCTAGTGCAGATATAGCTTGTTCAAATGAGGCTTAGGTGATCTGGAATCTGTGGTTGGTAGCTGGCACTCTGCATTCAGTAGATTTTGTCATTTGATTTTGACCATGCAGACCTACTTACTCATTCTTCATTACCGTAAGACTTTTGATAAAACTCTCACCAGTTTGACTTATGAACATTTGAAATAAAACAAAGATGATAACAGTCCTTTCCTGAAACAGACCCCTCCTTGCCTGGGGACCAGACCAACTGCCTTTATAAAACTAACAAATTAACTACAAGATTAGAAATTATGGCTCAGGAGTCATGCAGCCAGAGGCCACAAGATTCCTCACCTCCCCAGTTGCTTCTATGGGTAACATCATTATGGCAAAACCAAAGATTGGTATTTGAGGTGTCTTTCAGATCCTGCATTCTCATGGATCAATAGGTACCACCCAGAGCGGTGAACTGGCTCCTCAGGTCTTGCAGCCCCCACCCCGGAACTGACTCAGGGCAAGAAGACAGCTTCGACTCCCTATGATTTCATCCCAACACAACCAATCAGCACTCCCCATTCTCTAATATCCCTACCCCCACCATCAAACTATCTTCTAAAACCTCTGGCCTCTGAATCTTGGAGGAGGCTGATTTGGGTAGTAGTAAAACTCCAATCTCCCATTAACACAAAAAGAAAGAATATCTGAAGTGAATACTTGGACATTATCTTCTTGAGCTACTGGCAGATTGTTAGATTGTTACATTAGTCATTTATCCTCATGTTCTTTGAAGCTTTCTATGATATACGTATTATGTAGCTGTATCATTGCATAATATTTAAGCGTTATTAAAAAACATGTTTTATAAATGCAATATAATATTCTAGACACCGTTTCATAATCTCAGTGCTGAGTAATCTTAAATACTAGCTATATTAATACCTTCTTTTCACAGATAAGAAAACTCCATTTCGGAGTTGTTATCCAGCAGCCAGTTTTTGCAGGCCAGACAAGAGTCCAAGTCCCCAAAACCTCCAGTCCAGTTTTCTTCCTATTGTATAGTATTATGCTGCTCTCACTTTTTTATACATAATTTTACATTTGTGGCTTGAAAGTAATTTCAATGCCATAAGCATTCATAAATTCAATTTGTATTTTCCAACTGTCTGTTTATTCTAAACTCTTAATATGAGGCCACAAATGGATAAAGATTTTTTATCACATGTTAGGAGAGACATTTTCAATACTCTTTTACGTTTCTTGTCAGTCACAAATATATTTAGCCAAATCAGAAATAGTAAAAACTGATATAAAAAAATCCTTTTTCTCCACATATTAACTTTTCAAATTAGAACAAATAAAGGTACAGGAAATTATGGTTGTGTTTCAACCTGAACTAGTCTACAGGTTGTCGCTGTGTGTGTGTGTGTGTGTGTGTGTGTGTGTGTATGTTTTAAATCAAGCAGGGAGATACAGAGCAGATTAAACTCACCCCAACTGATACTCAAGTCTTAGACTAAGTTCTAGATTCTGACTCCATTCTCTTCTTTAGATGAATTCTGAGTTTTCCTCTTTAGGAAGGATTTGTTGCTATCAAAAAGACAATTGAGTTATAGGACTGCTCCCTGCTAGACAGTTATTTATGAACTCCACAAATTCCTTTGCAACTTGAAAACCCAGAGATAGATTATAGGTCTATTTCAGTAGAATATTAGATGATCCCAAAATAACCAGTTATCTCAAAAGTGTTATTGCAACATATTTTTTTTTGTCACAGCAGATGGTTATGCTATAAGAACCAACTAAAGTTGGTGAAAGGCTAGCAGCCCCCTCCATGAAGAAAAGGAAACGTTTTAATCTTTGCACCGAATCCTATATTATTTATGCAAGTCTTATCATTCACCAAGTGGCAACAAGAGTATGCTCTGTTTCAACCATGCTTTTGATCAGTCCTCAAAGGTGGTAGCCATAAATTAATCCTGACTACTATTATTATTGGAAGATCTAGATATTCAGAACTTGACTCTAAGTTATAAGTTAGCTCCAGTATAAATGGAAGGCCATCAGTTAACATTAGCAGCAATGACAAATAGCCCACTACTCCATGACAGTGGTAGCAGCCACAAATCAAAGGCATATAAAATCAGAGAAGGAGCCTATACTGATTTATGGGAGCATTTGTTTAACTTCAGGCAATCTGGTTGTGCTTGTGAACATGACATGCTATTCCCATGATCCTCTGTATATCATAGATTCTATTCTAACTTATGAATAAGCATTTAAAAATTTAATCATAACCAGAAAGGATTTCCTACACTGTTCACTGTCACTCACATATTGTTCTCTAAAAACAATTTGGCTACAGTTGTTGTTATGATATTGTAATAACCATCATAAAGCCTGTCACTTTAAGTCAGTGAAGTCAGGATCTGTTGGCAAAAATATAATCAAAAGTAATTTCATGATTCAATAAATAGTATATAAATCTGCTATTATTGGGGTTCATTTTCTTTCAATACTACCCATTTCCATCTTTTCACTGGAATTATTCTGACTATCCAAGTGTCATTATTACCTTCTATTGTTATTTAAATGGAGCATTTTTATTAGATCCTCTGACACTATATATAAGGCTTTGCTTCCTCAGTAGTAATAATTCCATTTCTGAAGGAAAATGGAAGTAACTATACACAAAATTCTAAGCTCTCACTTTATGTTAACTCCATGCCTGAAATGGAATTTTAATTTAATCATATCTGAGAAGACCTAGGTTTTTATTACCTACCTCAAGAAAGTAAGAAAAATAGCCCTTTCCATGCAGGTTATTTTGGTTCAAAGAGCCCATGAAACCATTATTCATCTATAATAATGCATGTAAGATACACTTACTAACCAAATTAAACTCTAAATTTCTTTCATCAGATGGCATTCATTATTTTTCTGTAAATTTTTCTTTAGGAAGATGGGAAAAATAAAATATTCTATATAAATAGTTGAAATAAAACATTATATCAGTTATACAGTTTTAAAAATATACTTTCCAAGAGATCTATAGAAGATATAATTAAAAGGACACAACCATACATACATTGTTGTTGATTTAATTAATACATTGGCTCGCAAAAGAAAACTATCAGAATCAGGGTATAGTTCTCAAAAACAAATCTAGCAAATATTGCATCAATTACATAAAATTAACTGGTGTGTCCATTAGTGTCAAACAGCCTTCACTGAATTTTTGTTGTATCCTACCAGCAGTTTTTCTAGGTATAGAAATAGAATATTCTCTGTTACTATAATCAGAGGTCTGTCTTCCAGTAGAAAAACGAATGTAAGAATATAACATATTAAACTATATAGTACTTTACCCAAGACCTAGACCTCCTGAAAGAAGATACATTTCGAGGTTATTAGAATTTTTACAATGGTGCAACAAGAAGAGGCAACCCGGCCTGGCAAGGAGCCCCATGGTGATGGATTTGGATGAGGTCTAGCAAGAAAACAAGAGAGTTAGTAAATATTTACCTGCCATCTCTGTGTGCAGAGAGAGCACTCTCCCCATGCTGCAAGGAGATGAAAAGAAATAAAGGGACTGGGCCCGGTGGCTCACACTTGTAATCTCAGCACTTTGGGAGGCCGAGGCGGGTGGATCACCTGAGGTCAAGAGTTCAAGACCAGCCTGGCCAACATGGTGAAACGCCATCTCTACTAAAAATATAAGAAAAATTAGCTGGGCATGGTGGCGGGCACCTGTAATCCCAGCTACATGGGAGACTGAGGTAGGAGAACTGCTTAAACCCGGGAGGTGGAGGCTGTGGTAAGCCAAGATCCTGCCATTGCACTCCAGCCTGGGCAACAAGAGCAAAACTCTGTCTCAATAATTAATTAATTAATTAATTAATGACTTTAGGGGCTTACTGAGGGTTGGTGAGACAAATGTACTTAATAAAACAATTTTGGTTCAATGTGAGGCATCATGTATTTAAGTACCAGCAAACTTATTTCAAAAAGTAAGTAAGAGCTATAGGAACTTCAAAAAGGAAATTTAAGTTCTATAGCAGCACCTATAAAAGACATAACGGCACGTGTCCTAAAAAGCTAAATAATAATATTACAACCATCTTTGCCAATCTCAATTCCTAAGAGGCCCCAGGGAATGAATAACTTGGCAATATGACTTCTGTGATATTAATCTACCATTTCTAATATGCATGCAGAAACCTTCTCAGACATTTTCCTTACCTAGTGTCAGAACCCTCTATGTAGAATAAAAACTAAATATTGGGTAGCTGTACAACAGCATTATTAAAATATTCCCCTTTAATATGAAGAGAAGCTGGACTTTGAAGCAGCAATGTTCTACTTTTTAACTAGAGAAAAACTTAAATAAATCTTGAAGTAAGCAAGGATCAAAGAATTTGGGTTCTAGCTTCCACATTACAGCTTTGCCATTCCAGGACAACAGTTTCTTAGAATCTAACAGTTTTTAGCGAGACAAGAACTTAACATATATTCTGTAGTCTAACTGAAACATTTTAGATCAACAAAGCTCTAAAGGATGCTGCATGAACAAACAAATAAGAACATGAATTAAACTCACCTCCAGAGACTCCTGTGTTGCTCTTCGAGTTGACTCAGCAGATGCTCAATGTATTTATTGGAGTCCATGTATTCCTGCACAAGCAGACAAAGACAGATGAAAGCTCGCTACCACAGTCCCCACCATCCTGAGACTCTGTCCTTATCTCTACAAGGAGTATTTTCGAAAGATTATCCCTATTTCCCTTCCGGTTCTAGGATTCTCTGCTTCTGTGACTTACAATCATATGTAAATACTATTTTTCTCATATCCATGATAGTTTTGTAAACAAATCACAGAAGAGAACGGTCGTTACACTGAGTCAGCATTACGATCCTCTTACTCACAGAAAAAAAGGCCTAAATTTCATAGTCATCTAAACTGGGGTCTGTGTTCTACTGTATACAAATGTTTCTGCCCATCATAGAAAAAAAAAATAGACAAAACAGTTCTTGATTTTACTGGTCTTATGACAGTCATGTTCCAGCAAAAGTAATGTTTTTAAACTGTATAGAATATTTTATATAAATACAATATATACCCATATTCACTGGGTACTTGTATACACTAATGGACATGTCCATTTTTCTTCAGCTCCATATATACACACAAAACAGTATATGTGATTTTTTTTTAATTCTTAAACATAAATCTTTGGCTTCTAAAAAGACATGAAAAGTATGGTGTGTTCTGCTCTATAGAAATGTATATGTAAATTTATTTCTCTAAATCAAACTATTTTCCTGAAACTTATCTGAAAAAAAAGAATAAAGAATTCATGTGTCATGTGAGAAGTAAGCAGAAAAATCCATAGATTATTACAATGGATTTAATTTGTGATTTCTGCATACGAGGCTCATATGCAATGGTGTTTCCTTTGCTAACCTGGAGAAAATACGACCTATACAAATCATTTTATATTGTTTTGCTCTGAATCTGGTATTTTATTCCCTTTCTGTTTTGAAGTCTACCCTGCAGGCCTCTGCTTCTACATTATAGCAGCCTTTGATGGAATAGTATGCAATGATTTCGATGTTAAGGCACCCATGAAAGCTACTGTTCCATTTCTATAGATTTGAAATAAACTGGGAACTTTGATTAACAGTGATATTTTCCTTTCAGAAATGTAGGTTTCTTATGAAACGCTATACATGATGTACTGCTCTTATAGAAATATTCACCACAATAAGGTGAGGGGCTGGGAGAAAGATGGGCGTTGACCCCATATAATGGAAAGGGACCAGTCCTGATTTCTTTTGATCCTGGATCTACCCATGTGGCCTTGAAAAGCCTTTTTACCTTTCCAAAATGTTCCCTAGACTAGAGGGTATACTAAGTCCTTGTCTAGTTAAATCTGTTATGATTCTAAGATACTGTAATTCTGTTATAGATAATTAGCTAAGAAGTTTTATGCTTATTGAATAAACACTTATTTTCAGGTGACTACTGAATAGTTATTTAAACAAGACCACTGAGATTGTTAAAAACAAAGCAGAAATCTGTGCTACTGAAGGAAGTTGCAGCATACGTGGTTATGCTTTTAAGTGTCCTGACCAAGGCTAAACCATGATTTAGAACACTTGACACTATCAAATACATGAATTCTCAAATATGTTCAGCCAAGAAAAACTAAATACATTGTTCCCAAGTAGAAATAAATGTACAGATCTTAAAGTTATTCATTCTTTCTTCATTTAACAACTATTTTTAAACATCTGTTAGATGCCACGAGCTGTTCTAAGTGCTGCAGATATGGTAATCACCAAGAGGGGGAAAGCCACTGACCTCAAGGAGCTTACAGTCTGTCAAAGGGGCATACTAAATACATGAACAGATTGGTTTCATATTGGCTACATGCTATGAAGTAAACAGGTAATAGGAAAGACTGGGAGGAGCAGCTATGTCACGTGAAGACTCCGGAAGAAGACTCCAACCAAGTGATATTTGAGCTAAGACTTGGAAGAGAAGGAAACCATATAGAGAAAAGGGAGCCAGACACTGCAGGCAGCAAAAACACCATATGCAAAGGTCCTGAAATGTGCTGTTGGAGGAACAGAAGGAAGCCAGTGGGTGCTGGGAGCAGGGACTCAGGGATACTGGGTCTCAAATGAAGTTGGAGAGGTAGGCAGGACCAAATCAGGTGCAAGCCTTAGAAAGCAGCTTGGACTTGTCATTTTGTTCATTCTGATTATCTCAAGTCAGAGGTTGAAGCAGAAAGGTGTAGTGATGACAAATAAGACTTCAGTGTCAAAGAGACTTAGTTTCAAATCCTGGTTTTGATACTTACTAGCTATGTTCCCTGGTCACATTATTAAATCTCTCTAAGCCTTAGTTTCTTCATCTTTGTCAGAGGCATAAATAATGCTTCATTTATGGAGGCATTGTAAGTGTTAAACAAGAAGTTTAAGTACATACATCCATCATGGCTGCCAAATAGCAAGCATGGCCTTTTTCAGAGTATTATATACCTCTTTTCAAAAGGAAGATCACTTTACAAGGTGAAGCCATTTTTCATTTTCTCTTCTCTTGCCAAACTTCAAGACTTTTAAGTGTACAGTTCTTAGGTTATACACACTAAATATTAGAATAGGCAGTTAGGCAGAGATTGATAATACTGATCTCTAATCATTGAATGTAGTTGTCACTGGCTTGTGATTTCAAAGTTATTTCAAATAAAAATACTAGCTGCTTCCATTTAAACTAGCTTTATCCTATTTTCCATATAAATAACTATGATGACAAATCTTAAACCACTTAAAAATGGGAAACTAAGATTATCGATTATTTATCCCTCTTTTCAGCTATATTTTTTCTATGGCACTCTTACTTCCAACATTCAATATATTTTACTTATGTATTAAGGTATTGCCTCAATATAAGGCTAACACAAATGGATTGGGAAAAGAGACATGCGTCTTACATATATTTTTTGTTAAGTGAAACTGTTTTTGCTCAACCTGAAAGAACTTAGGAAGTACCTTCATGCCTGTATCATTTCTGGACCCTGAACTGGAAAAGTTAGTTACCTAATGTGAAAACACTATCACAAGATTATAAACTAGAATTACTCCTAGGGGGAATTCTGTGGATCCCTTTGGAGATTAACTCCAAGAAAACCATGGAGGGTGGTAGCACTGGGGCTGGCAGTAGTTAAGAGAAAACTATGGTCACCATAAGTCAAATGCTGTAGGCATAGTGGCTGCAACAGCTTTGGGAGCAAGTACGCCGAGGAGGTTATTGTACAGAGACTCCAGTATCCCAGCATGCCTGCAAAGGCAGAAAGAAAAGGTCCAGACAGATTTTTTTTCAGAGTAAACTGAAAAAATGCACCATGGAACCCATGTACAAGTACTGTAGGAAAAGAGAGAGAACATGATCCTTAATCATAAAAGAGGGTGTGACTCTGAAAATTACTTACATAAGAAAGATATGAAAGCATTTTAGAAAGAGCCTTCACATGTTCACTAGTATCCAGAAAGATGTGGTCTCTCTGACACATGTGAAGGAAGATTTTTTTTTTTAATGTTGAGATGAAAAGACAGCAGAATTAGATTTTACAAGATAATAGGGTGAGCGGCCAAGATAATAAAATGACATAAAATAAAGACGGGGCTCAGTGAGCTAAGAATTTCAAGGCAACATAGACTGTACTCACCGAATGGAAACCTATTTATTGCTGTCCTGTGATTTTTATTATAAGGTGACTCTCCTGACCATGAAATGGTGCTTCAGAGACAACAGGCAACAGATTTTGGTGTATTGGCGCTGAATTGTTCATACAGGTGAAAGTCTATTTCTCAATATCTCATTTGGGAAACAATCAAATTCCCCAACCCAGGCCAGGTACTTACATATTCCTCTTCTCCTATTTCTACAGTATAAGTCAATTAGTATATGTATCATTCAGTTAGTGAAGAGTAAGCATGATGTAATCTAGGGAGAAAAAATAAACAACCATATCCACATCTTCCTTGATGTCAGCGTTCACTATTCCTAACACATTATCTATGAAAAATGTCTATTTCCCAAGCCTTGCTTTGTTCAGCATGCAACTTCCTACCTCATTCAGCACAAAGACATTATTAAACTATTGTTACTACTAACTTGATGAATATCCTATTCTACTGGTTTCTCTTAGAATTACAAAACCTACCTTAGATACAATAAATAGTAGAATTGACAATGAAAACATACATACAGTCCTGAGGAGGATAAACTTAACCTGTAAGTAAATTAAGAAATAAAGGATAAGGATGAAAATGAATGCAGACATGATTGATAAACAGGCCAGAAAATATTGGTTTGCCAAATAATGAGAGCATTTGAGTACTTGATAAGATTTGAAATGCAAACAACAAACAAAGGGATAAAGAAATATTTCAGCACAGGGGAAAAAATAAGGACGTGATTATGCACATCGAAAGGATTCATCACTTTCCAGGTAGAGTTAATGGAAAACAATCCACACGTCTATTGGCACAAGAGTTGAATAAAAATAGTGAAGGCAAAAATGGGGGGCTTGTTCGAATGCTTATAGCCCAACAAGGAGCAAAACCACATTAGCTCCACAGCTTACAGCCACCCCAAATGCCCATTGAAATTAGTTTATAGACAAACCATAAATATTATTCCCAATTAAGTAGCTCCTATGTAACAAAGCAACAGAAAGACATTCTCAGGCATTCATGAATTCATAAAATACAGGACCTACATCTTTTAATGAAAAACTTAAAGATACACATGTGTATAACCAAAAGGTGTCTGTGTGCCAGCTAAGTATATGTACACATGCATGTATAAGTATATATGCACATATGTAATACCTGAGCAAAGAATAAAAAATAGGAATTCACAATATAAAAAGAGCCTTCAAAAGAGGTTAATCCAGTCAAACAGATGTTTAAAAAGGTAATTATAAAATAACATAAAATCCCAGAAAGAAAAAGTAGAATATACATTATCTATTTTTGTGATGGGCAGAAGGAGGACAAGAGGGAAAGAAAGAGGGAACTATTGATAGAAGGGTGCATAAATCACTTTGAATACAGGGGAAGAAATTATTGTTCTATTTTTGACTTGATAATAAAAAATGCTT